TGGAATGAAGTTGTCTTTAATGATGAGTCACGCATCTGTCTGCAACACCACGACGGTCGGATTCGATTCTGGATACACCGTGGAGAGAGGATGCTGAACAGCTGCATTATGCACCCCCACACTGGTCCTGCACCGGGTATTATGGTATGGGGCGGTATTGGATATCACTCTCGCACTCCTCTAGTACGCATTGCCGGTACTTTAAACAGCCAGCGCTACATCTCCGAAGTGTTGGAGCCAGTTGTCCTTCCTTACCTTCAGGGCTTGGCCTCAGCCATATTTCAACAGGATAATGCGCAACCACACATGGCACACATTGTCCAAATGTTCTTCGTCAATCACCAGATTGAATTGCTTCCCTGGCCGGCTCGCTCTCCAGATCTTTCGCCGATAGAAAACATGTGGTCCACGGTTGCTCAACGATTGACCCACACCAGATCACCTTTGGCAACGTATGGAAGCTGCTTGATCTGCTGTACCCCAAGAACACATCCAAAGTTTCTTTGAATCAATGCCGAGGCGTGTGGCAGCGGTGATCTCCAACAATGGCGGCTACTCTGGCTACTGATTCTGGCAGGAACCACACTTCACAGGAGTCTATAAATTTAATCATTTGATACTTGGTCAACATATTATCTACAAAATAAATTTTGTTGTACTATCTCTTGTCTTTCTTGGTGTTGCATTTACGGTGGGTATTTTCAGCAGTGTATTTTCTTCTTGAAACAGTTTGTTGGACGCAACCACATAAATGAGCACCACAACGAGTTTAAAAATCAAAGAGAAGCCATTATATGAGTAAAATTTAACCAAGGAGACTTAAATAATAGATATTTTTCAATTCCTACTATTAGCTTACACTCACTATATATTTATTTATTTTTATCTTGTTGGAATTTTCAATCGTTAATAAAATACATTTTAAAGCTCTCCATTGAGCTGAAATTTTATATGCATGACTATTTTGGATGACAATACATTAATTTAATTATAAATAATAAAAATTAATTGATTAAAACTAATTTAAAAAATTACATATACAGCCACGTTAGCATCATTTTTGGCGACTTTATAGACACAATTGTTTTGGATGACAATACGATACTTTAATGATAATGAATAAAAATCAATGACAACTTAATGTTGTGATTCTGTCCTATGTATATACATACTTATATTAATTGTAACTATTTAATAAAAAGTAGCTAAAATAAAATTTTTCTTTGATCTAAATAAGAATTGACTTAAATTTTTTTTTTATTGCTTGTTTCCTAGATAAACATGCACATGCAACTATACACATGCAGATTTATAAATGTCGCTCATGCCAACTGCGAGTTTCTCATTTTGTAAATCTAAGCATATTTGTGTGTGTGTGAAGCTCTGCTTAAATAGAATCAAAAATCACCTTGTTTGTGTGTGTGGGGACACAAGATGATTTCTGAAAAAACCCTAATTTAAACTTTATATCCATCAGTATCAAGTTAGTGTAAAGAGGCGAGAATAACGGACGAATTTTCTCTTTCAGTTGATGTGTATAATGGAATAGTATTACTTTAAAAAGAGTAATGCCAAGATTATTACACTTAGAAAATACTTCGACTTGACTCTACACCGACTTACGCGAACTCTCATCGATTCATTTTTTTTTTAAATCCCTGATACTAGGATGGAATCAAAGCCAGAGCCTGAGGAAGTTGTCGATCTTGCCGGGCAAATAAATTTTCAATTGGATAGTGATAACGTTCAAGAACTGCTGGATCCCCACAATCAGGAATTGACAATTGGTAGAAACGCATGAGCAAGAGAAAGACAATGAAGAATTTGAGTCTTTAAACCCAGTTTTCAATTAGAAGATTGAATGACGGTTAGGGAGTGAGTGAGTGAATATTAACGTCTCACTGTTGAGCTACACGAGGGTTTTTGGTGACGGACCTCGTCATTTTGAACCATGGTCAAGTGATGAAGACGACATCTGAGCTGACACCCCCTTCTCCTAACTACCACACCAACGAGAGGACGTTTCAGCTGTCGACAGATTTAACGTACATCGCTCCCTTACACGGCGGATCTTTATTGGTACTGGGCTCGAACTCATGACACGCCAGCCATGATCCGATACCTTGATCACTAGGCTACCACGGCCACGCTTAAGTTAAGAATATTACTGTACTAGGATTTTGGCAGATGTGGTTAGCAGAAAAAAAAATCACAAGATATAAAATAATTACAAGTTTATTCCCAATAAGCGTAGTAGAATGTATTTTCCTTAATGCTAAATGCATGTTTGTTACAAAAAAAGAGAACAAAAATATTTTTGATTTAAAAACTTAGAATCAACACTGAGTACACACTGAAAGTATCAAAGTATTTTCAGAAATTCTGTGCTTAAAACTTGAACGAAATTTGCAGTTTAGAAATAAATAGAGAAAACTGTGAATGAACTGATGTGTGGTGAGGAATCTCAGAAAGAAAGTTTTCGTTCAACAACTAATTGGAGTTCAAAGTTCTTTTCTTGGAGCTTCTTGTAATAAATAAAAATAAGAAACCAGCCTTTTGAGCAGCAGAATAACAAAAAAAAAAAAAAAAACTGCTTTTCCTGACGAATACTTCATAAAGACCAGATTCTAGATGACGTGTTGAGAGTACTGAGGAAACTACTTACCACTCGAAATCCCTTATCGGTTTAGCAATTTTTAGCTTTTTTTTATGGCGTTTATTTTTTTTTAAAGCTCAACCATTATTTTTAGATTTTCGTAAATACTTACTTTACAGTTCTAAAAGAGGAAGTTTTTTCAAGAAAAAAAAATAATAATAAAACTTGCTGTATTATTTCTTGGGAGTAAAAGAGACAAATACCATTTCAGAAATACTTGAAACAATGCGAAAAAAAAAAAAAAACATTACAAATTAAGTTAAGGTAAAATAATTTTAATCAAATATAAAATGTAAATCCATCAAGAAAATGTAAAGAAATAAAACATAAAGTAAAACTTAACTCAATACATGCGACCTTGGGCCCTGAGGTGCATGAGCAGATGGTCAGGTAGTCAGTCTGAAGCGAAACCCCCATTTTTCAGTTCCCAAGCAATCTTGATACTCATTTATCGACCCACTGAAAGGATGAAAGGCTAAGTCAATCTTGCCCAGCCTGGGTTTCGAGCCTTGAACTTGTGGAGTGGAAGCGCGATGCACTACCTCTCAACCACTGGGCTTCAAAATATAAGGTACATTCGAATAAAAAAAACCATACGCTCATTTAAAACATTCTTTTGAGAAATTTTTCTTTGTTTAAAAAAGAAATAAAAAATTTATAATGGCAACAACAACAACAAAAAAAAAAAATATTTAAAATCAGCAAAAGATTAAGCGATATAGTGAAATACATCCAATAATATATACAGATATAAAAATAACAGAAAGCCTTTTATAGAACCAGTGAGTGAATATTAACGTCGCCCTGTTCAGCTACTCGAGGGATTTTGACGATGGACCTCGTAATTTTGAGCCATGGTCAAGAGTGAAGAAGACGACACCTGAGCTGGCACCCCCCTCTCCTAACTACCACACCAACGGGAGGACGTATGAGTTCTCGACAGATTTAGCGTGCATTGCTCCCCTACACGGTGGATCTTTATAGGTATTGGGCTCGAACTCGTGACAAGCCAGCCACGATCAGATACCTTGACCACAAGACTACCACGGCCACTTTACAGAACCAGACTTAAAGTTTTAAAATATATGCATCAAAAATTAATTTATCCATACGTAATTGAAAGAAAAAAACTTTTAAAAGAATGCACAAGTTCTGATTTGATGCATTATCTAATACATAAGGTTCAAGTTTTGAAGCATGGGCAAATATAGCATATTCTTTAAAATATGAATTACGTTCTTTTCATGGTTTAAAAGTAACTGTTTTGCTAAAGTATAAAACATCGAAAAACCAATCGAAATTTTAATAATAGAAGAAATTTTAATTACCCAACTTATATATATAATTATGCCTAAAATATTTGATGCATGAATGCAAAAATCTTCATAAAAATAATTTGAATAAATAAGGAAAAAGAGAATTTTTATAAAATAATTAAAGTACATAACATATTAAAAGTAATATAAACTATATACAATTATATAAATAAAAATAATGAACAGTAAAAATGCACATAAAAATTACATCAAATATGAATCAATGACTAAGCTTTTAAAACATAAAAACAGAGAAATATAGAAAACCAATATTAATTTAGTTAGTCTTGAATATTTTAATTATTAGTAATCTTTTGCAGTCAAAATTTCTTCATGGCATTTTTTTGAATAATTACTTAGGCATGCATTTGCAAACGGACTAAATGAAAAACAAGTAATATATATATATATATATACATACAGTGGCGCACACAAGGGGGGGCCTGGGAGTCCGGACCCTTCCCCCCCCAAAGCCGTCGATTTTTTTTTGATTGATTATAATTCTAAGTATATAATACGTAAAATTTAATTAAGTATTTGTTATTAATGATTAATTTTGTTAATTAATGCTAATTATTTATTCATTAATTAGTTTTTTACTGCGTTTTGTTCCCGAAAATCGATAAAATTAAAAGGAGCAAAATACAAGAATGGTAAACTTTCAACCCCGGACCCCCCACCCCTTGAAAAATTTCTGTGTGCACTACTGTATGTGTATATATATATATATATATATATATAAATTAAGGCAATTCCTGCGCTTAGGTCAACAAAGAAAAAATTCATTTTAGTTACTTTTTATTAAATAATTACAATTAATATAAATAGGTATATACATATGACAGAACCACACTATTAAGTGACAAAATAGAAAGCGATTTTCCTTGTAACTTTCGATTTTCTTTTCTGTATATAATGTTGGACTATATATATACTTTTTTGTTTGTTACTATTTATTCATTAATTAAATTTAATTATTCTAATAAAATATTATAGTAAAAAAGAAATGACATTCTCAGAAATTAGGCCGTCCCAGGTGGAATTCGAAACCACGACCTTTGGACTAGAAATCCAAAGCACTCTCCATTGCGCTACAGGGTCACAATGAGCGATTTTCGTTTTTATACATGGTGTTGGAATTTTATTTTTGTTTGTTACAATTTATTCATGAATTAAATAAAAAAATGAATTAATATTTGAAAAAACTGTATTAACATCAAATGTATAAAAAAATATATTTGAACTTGAATGGATGAATAGAAACAGGGCCGGCTCTAGCAGTTTTGCCGCCCCGGACCAAAGTGAAAAATGCCGCCCCTCTCCACAACGTATAAAAAATATTATTAAAAAATATATAAATTGTTCATAAATACACACCTATAAAACTTGAATAGTTCTTGCAAAGAAAAAGCAACATAACAGTATACGTATAAATATTTATTAAAAATTAAAACAAAAAACAATATAAACAAAAAAATTAGAAGTTTTTTTTCTGACTCTTAACTCTGAAAACTTTCTGATTAATTCTTTTAAATCAATTTGTTCAGCTATTTTAAGTTCGATAGCCAATGTAGATAAACCATTTAATCTATCTTAAAGAATTGTAGACCGTAAGAAATTTTTAATTTAGAAACTCCTCTTTCCACTTGCTACACTATTGGCAAAGAAAGTAAAATTCTTAATGCGATGGCAAGATTTGGCGCAAATTCTAAAACTGAAATAAATTTTAAAACTTCTGTTTGGCTTTATTTTTTGTCTATTAATGCTGAAACTAACATTATTTCATCTGCTAGATCAAGCGCATTTATATCTACTGATTCTCCATCTGTCAACATCATTTCCAAATTTTTACAGTTTTTAATTATTGAACGTTTAGGGGTATCCTTTAAATCATATATATTATATAAAAATTGAAAAAATAACCATGGGTACTCGTTAAATTAAATCTGCATTCCAAGGCATTAATTGCTTGGTCAATTGTAAAAAAATAAAACTTTATCTTGAATTTTAATTTAGGATCTTCCGCCAGATCATCTTGTGCTTCGTAATCAAAATTAACATTTTTGAGGTGAACTCTGTTACGTGGCTGCGTGACCTCAAAATTAGGAGGGATATCAATCTAGTCGGCCAATTCTTTTGCATCACAGAGCATTTCAGTAAAAGTCTCGTCCGATCGAAGATCATTAAGAAAATCTGTACAATTTCTTAAGAGTTCCATAGCGGATGGTAGATCGTAATTTTTTGTATTTAGTAAACTTCCAGCTTGTTTTTTAATATGGGCTTGTTTTTCGAGTCGCTTTCTTTTGTATTGCGTACCAGATAGTTTTTTAAGTCCTCCCTCAAACATTCTAATATTTTAAAAAAAATATACTTAAATTAAGTAAGGGAAGTATGAATTCATCAAACATTGACCCATTTTAATTAAAAATCAATGTGTTTGAGATTTTCTAAACTCTTATCGTAAATTTTAAACAAAGAATAAAAAGCCCTTATTTTACTTTCGTTTGAACACTGTATTTATTTATGTTTAATATGTTTTGAATTAGTAACTATATAGAGAGTAGGATATCCTAATAAAGTATATTTTCCAGTATTAAAATTAGGAAATCTTTTTAACTTATATTTTCAACAAACCCACGTATACATCTGTGCATAGCACGCACAAAATATAGAATGAATTTACATAATTTTTCATCTGAGAAAAATGTTCTACTTATACAACTCCCACAAAAAAAACTTTCCATTAATCTTATTAATATAATCTAGAAATTAATAATCTTTATAATCACTAAAATTAACACTAATAAAAAGTACTCAAGAAATAGACTACAATATTTAAAATAAAAATAAAAAATACATTATATTTCTCAGTCAAATAAAATTCTGTCTTTTAGCTTCCTCAAAAAATGTCATTTCGACATATTTTTCATAACATTTAAATATAATCATATGTAATCCCATTTGGAAATATATTTATATACTAAAACAATATTACTAATATTACTATCTCTCTTTACATCAAAGAAGAAGAAAACATTGAAATAGCTCATTTATTACTGACCTAATTCACAAACTTTAAATATTTCGAGAGAATTTATATAAAATGCCTTTTTGATCCTTCAATCAGCAATAACACAATTATTTATAAGAATATAATTACCAAATAGTATTACTAAATTTCTCTTGATGTATGAAAAAAGAGAAAAAAAAAATTGAAATCACATCTGTTATATTGATTCAACATGATGATTCAGAAAAACGGAATCAAAATTTACAATAAACAAGACAAATGAACCACAATTTTTTTTTAATTCTGGGAAGAGTAATGAAGGTTGTGCAATGTCTCGTTCCGGAAATGGAAGCTCTGTTATGAAAAAAAATTTCGCGTCAACAATATTATTTCGATTTAATCTAAAAATAAAATTTTTAGTCCATTTCTCTTAATTATATAACTATGGATACGTATATACAAAATAATTTCATTGAAATCAGAATTAACTAGTTTTCTTTTAACTCAGTAGTCCTTTCAGTTATAATATAGTTACTCATTTATGTGTGAATTTATTTATAACACACTTAATACATATATTTACAGAGATGTACCTTACAGAAAGCACTACTGTACTTGTATATTATTTTAAGTCTTAAAAAAATACAAAATAATTCGAAATTAAAAACATAATTACCTGTTGCTATTTCAAACAAGCTAAATCTAAGATTCAGTGGAGCCAATTTTTTTGAACTAGACTCTGTTGATGGTAGAGATCACAAGAGCTTGTAGTAATTACTCAAGAGTAAAATAAAACATCTGTAGCTCGCTATCTTCAACAAACTTTTATTACCTCTGTACCCTCTTTGGTTAGCTGACGCCGGATATTTTATGGATGTCCGTAGTGACCCCAGTCCGAGAAGGGGAAAAAGTTACAAGAGTTGGTATAAACATATCAAATTTCATGATTTAACATATACTGCGGCTTCGAACCCTTCAAGGTTCAACATAAAAGTAAACTGACATTTAACGTACACAGTAAAAAATAAGAAACATCAAATGAAATACCAGAATCACAATACTAAAAACAAATAAATATATAACTGGAAATTACAAAAGAGGGAAACCAAATACACATTCAACAATAAATTTTGTCGGTAAGCCAGTCAAATATTTAAATGGTCATGTAAATACGATTGTTTTTTTAAAGAGATATTTATAAATTTAAAAGGTAAACAATAACTCTTTTTAGAAGACATAATTTTTAACTGTATATAACAGCAGAATTTTGAAGAACTGCAATTTACCGAACGCTGCTCTAAACGAAATATTCTGTTTTTGTGCACATTTGTCATCGTTAACGTAGTAATTTATGTTTCTGATTTCCCGGTTTTTTCCCTTCTCGGAAAAATTTTAAAAAATCAGTAATCAACAGGTTATTTTTAAATAATATCAATAATTATCATATAAAATACAAAAAATATATACCGTTTTTTTCTTCAATTTTCGATTTAGCTTCGACTCATAAATTTTCAGATTTTTAAACGTTTGTATTTGTATTAAAAATTAAATATATACGTCATGAAACAATTGATGAAATTGAAAATGGTTTAAAATAATAAATAATTAGTATCAAATGTATTTTCATCCATGCTCCCTGTAAAATAAGTACAATTTTGTGAGGCAGACACAAATTTTAAATTCTACCTTTGAACAATGAAATCTCCCAAATGTTTTGATAAATAATTTTCAAATGTAGTTAGTAACAAAATCTGTGGAAAGAAGTATTTCGAAGGAATAAATAATTATTCTAAAGAAAGAAATTATTACTAATTCGAATACAAAAGAATTTATTTAGTTAATAATAAATAAATATGTCACACTATCTTTATTTTGAAGATGCTGTTACCACCTTGATTTTTTTTTATTCTCAACTTTATCATATACATAGAGGAATCTTCCCCAAATCAAAAGTTATAATTTTTTTTAATGAAATTGATCTCTTTTAGGACTAAAGGCAATAATTGTTAACCACATAAAAAAAAATGTTACAATTAAAAATCTCGAAAAAAAAAATTCACATCCAAAATGAGTCGATGAATCAGTTATTCCTCTAACGTTGCTACTAAGAGATAAATATTTTACTTGCATCACCGATTTCGATTTCTTGTTTATGGAGTTGCTGTATTAATATTGCATAAATAAAAATAAATATTAATGTAAGAATCGCACACGAAAGTTTGGTTAAGAAAAATAATGAATAAAAAAAGTTGTGTGCGAGATTATTTAGAAATAATCTCCCCAAAACAGTTTGGTGGTTCATTCCCTTCTTCAAATTACTAATTCAAATAAGTAGCTCATAATAAAAACAAGTATCCGAAAATTTTTTAAAGAAATTAAATAAATATTTTTAAGTATTAATCTTAAGCCGTAAAATTCGGCGTATAATGCGCACTTTTAACACAAAAAACAAGAACGAAATTTAAAGATGAGCGTTTTACGCCAGATATTAAAAAAAAAAAAAAAATTAGATTTCTACTTGGATTGGAATACTGTATATATTTTTTTAAAAAATGACATACTTAATGAAAATAAAGGGTTGTAGTTCTAGAAGTATACTATTTTTTCAAAAACCTAATCTCGAATAAACGATTTCAAAACATAATAGCATTGTATACGTACCTTTCAAGTTCCTTCGTAAAAAAAGGGGGTGCGCGTTATACGGCGAATATTCCTAAAAATTAAAAAATGCAGCTTCAAAGTATAGGTGCGCGTTATACACCGGATTTTACGGTACGTTATCCACATAAACTGATTTGACAAAAAATTGTGCAAGGTTTTACTCTTTCCCACGACAAGCTGAAAAAATTCTCGATTTTACGTGTGTGTTACTTTTCTCTTATTACAGGCTTACCCCTCAGCTGGGGGAATGAAAATTCCTCTGAACGATCGTAAGTTGCCTCAGCAGGGTCACCTAAAATTTATAGCAGAGGTTGAAATCCCTAGTCCTGTAAAGAAACAGCTACTTGATGGATTATTTAAGCCCCGTGCCATTCCCGGGAATACAAAAAGTACTGAAATCTGACGATTTCCCGGGATCCCCTTTATATTA